TTCCCTTTGCACTAGGAGCCTTCATTATCTGCTGGCTGCCTTTCTTCTTGACCCACATTCTCAATACCCACTGCCAAGCATGCCACGTGTCCCCAGAGCTTTACAGTGCCACAACGTGGCTGGGCTATGTAAACAGCGCCCTCAACCCCATGATCTACACCATCTTCAATGTTGAGTTCCGCAAAGCCTTCCTCAAGATCCTGTCTTGCTGAAGGAGGAGAGGAGGGAACACCCCTGTACCTCTAGCTGCCACGCTGTTGGGCCACTGGCCAAGACCTGCTCAGAAAGACTGCACAATGTCCTCTGGCATATGACAGAAAGAAGCTTCTGGAGCCAGGATGCCTCTGTGTGGCAGGTGTAACCAACTACATCTTCCAAGACAGAATGTTCTACTTCCCCAGCTAAAGTCTGACTTTATTTGACAGTCTTCAAATGGTTGGGGGGGATGCCAAATGACAAGCAATAACTCAAAAGGAAACTGATTAAAACATGACTCTACACACACACTAAGTTGTCATCAGAGGTATGATTCATCACGCTGAAGAAAAAATGAACAGACCTCATCATTCTCAACTTGCCAGGGGTCCTTGAAACCTCAGCCAGTAAACTGTGTTGCAGAACAATCAGTCCCTCTTCCTTGAAACCCCTAACTAACTGACCTTGTACTTTAGTGGACCCATTCCCTCTTGGCTGCTCGTTTTCCTCACTGTCTGAAACATGAATGGCAAGGCCAGGTCTCATAGCTGTCTATAGAATTTGATGGGTGATATTTGGTGAGGAGAATTCCTAACCCTGAGGAAAACACTACTGTCCCACATTGGGACCTGGACTTCATTTCAAACCTTGCTCCCCTTGCACTTTAACCCTAGCTAGGATTACTGTCTTGAGGCAGACTCAGAGTTTCAACTTCCAGAGTCATTCAAGATGGGGCTGTTAACCGAAGAAGGAATGACAATTCCCACTGTAAAGTCACTGTTGAATGTTTTGGTTCATAACATGCCTTAGATATGCTTCTCATAACACCACAAGGTTTCCCAGCGGGAGCATCTCCATCTTCTGCTTAGTCGAAACCCAACACCTTTAGAAGCTGAGACTAATAGTATGTGTCTGCAAAGTGCCAGTCTCCTACCTGCATTCTGGACATAAAATAAAGAATGAGACAGCTCTTGTCACTAAGGTGCTCACCACCTGTTCTTGTGTTTGCACATGCATTTGTGTAAGGATGGTAGGGACTCACCTCGAGTGCCAGAGGACCTCGGAACCTAGGCACAGGGTAGCGACTGAAAGCCATCACAGGACTATCTTTATAACGTCTTAGAGCACACCCTAAATGCCACCACTCTAACAACTGAAATGAAAGGTAACAACAGAAACTACTTATAAATGTCATTCAAATTTTCATTTAAAAGGATATTCAAAGTCACAATTTACGTGCTTAACCTGCAGAAGCTATTTTTTATTGATTGCAGAATCAAGACAAAATTGATGTATAATTTATTAAATGTTGTCACCTTGAACTTCAATAAACTTACTTTTAAGAGCTGTTAATGTTAATAATATGTTAAAATGTTAATGTATAGGCATGACAGATTCCTAATGCAATGCTTAAAATTTTAAAGTGCACAAGAACTTTACAAGGAATTCAAGGCCTCCCTTTCCCCATGTTTATTCCTTTAACCTTTAAGTATATAATAAGGAAATACATACCTGCAGTGAGTTACTTACCTGTTACTCCTGAATGCTTTTAATGCCAGCATTTAAAAAATGATATTGTCTATGATAATGTTTGTGTTGTAACTAGGATGGAAAATTCCATCTGCCCACTGGTTCTTGCACTTGGTACCATCTGGCTCAATAGGCTTATGGTGCAAACTAAGCTGGGTCATGGGACTATTAAAATCTGAAAAAATTAAAAATACATGATTCCTAGCTTTTTTTAAAAAAGAAATATTTATTAATTTTATTTATTATTATTCTCTTGTTTTTGTTTTTTGAGAGAGATTTTTGCTATAGGGAACATGCCCTTGTCATAGAGACAGAGACAGAAAGCAAGAAATCACCCTCCAACGTGGATGGCCATGCTGTAACCCCTTCTCCTCCATTTTCCTCTCAGGATTTTGGTCGTGCACACACACATACACACACACACACACACACACACATCTGGAATGAGTTTTAAGCCACCAGCTCCAGGACTCAAACTGCAGTTGACTACGTGGGAGTCCAGCAACATAACCATCATGCCATCTGCTGGTCACTATTATTATTATCATTTTTTAATATGACTAGAGAAAGGCAGGGGGAGAGAGAGAGAGAGAGCAAGTGAGAAAGCAAGCTGCCAGGTCTGGGAATTGAACCGTGGTCAGCCATGTGGGAGTCTGGTACTTCAACCACCACACCACCACTGGCCCCAATTCCTAGCTTTTTAATTTACTAGATGGCATGTGCATTCACCTAGGAGAGAGAGAATAACAAAGAGAGAGTGTATGCAAAAGCACTACCCATGGGAGAATAGCCATGCCACAATCCCTTCTCCTCTATTTCTCCTTTTGAGGTTTTTGGACATCTCTGCACATACACCTGGAGTGTTTTACAAGCCTCTGGGACTGGGACTCAAACATGCAGTCAACCATGTGAGATTCAGTCATCTACACCATCATACCACCAGCTGGCCCTGTATCCCTTCTTAATATCAAGTATTCAATCCTTATGATAATCTTAGAGAATATAAACTCCTTTTCATAGATGGCAAAGCTAAGGCAGTGCCCAGCAGAGGTGACCAACAGGCAAAACCACCACTCGGAGGCTGGAAGCTGAATGGAAGTCCTGAATTTGATTCCTGGGTCAACCAAAATACACCAGTACAGTTGAGTATGTCTTTTTTTTTTTTTTTTCTTTTTTCAGAGAGAGATTTTTGCTATAGATTGCTTTTACTCACTGGAGAGACAATTCTAAGATGGCTTCCCAGACAAGTACTATCGAGGCTGAGAGTAAATAAAAATGTAAGAAAGGTTTCCCAGGCAGAGCCGACCCCTGAAGAGCTAAAGATAAGAACAAGCAAGGCCCATATAAGAAGTTTCAAATAATTTAGTCTGGCTGTAGAGAAGGGGTCTTATGTTAGGATAGAAGATGAAAGAGTCTCAGTTTTGTGTTTTTGGTTTCTGTGGCTTTTTTAAGAGAGATTTTTGCTACAGAGTGCATACACTTGCCAGAGAGACAGGAAGTGAGAAATTAACCCTCGTCCCCACCCCCCCCCACCCCCAGGAGGGATGACCATGCCACAATCCCTTTTCCTTCATTCTCCTCTTGGGATTTTGGGCACGCATGAATACATGCCCAACCTGAGTTTCAAACCACCAGGTCCGGGACTCAAATTGCAATTAGCCATGTGAGAGCCCAGTGACATAACCATTATGCCTTCTGCTGGTCTCAAGGGCCTCAGTTTTGAAGGTTTTCTCCAGCTTTGGCCAGGAGACAACCAAGCTGATGGTGACACTTTCTCACAGACCTCTATATCGTACCTCCCTACCCTCCACATGAACACTACGCACTGCAGAAGAAACACTGTTAATCTAGTCACCTCTCTCCAAGCTACGCTGGATTTCAATTAATGCAGCAGTCAACTTGAATTCTTCTCTTTTTTCTCTAAAGGAGGGGGAATGGCTAGTTGGTTGGATGTGACATCAGATATGGTTACAATTAAGGCATATCAGAGATTGGGCCAGAAACCAAGAGAGGTCAGGCAAAGAGATTTGTTTTTCTGAATCAGAACTAAGCAGAGAGGTAGAAGGGTTAAGGAGTTTGCTCAGAACAGGCTATTTCCTGGAGGTCCTGACTCCCAGGCCTGTGTTATGATCGTTTGGTATCTGCTGACATCAGAAAACTGAAAAAGCTTAATTTGAATCAATACACAGAGAGCAGAGGGGGATGACAGGCAATTAACTTGATTCCTCTTTACTACCTAATTGTATCCTCATCATCTTAGGAAGGGTGTGTTTCCATGACTACCTCCTGACACACAGACTCAGAGCAGGTGACGGCAGTGTCAGTTTAGTTCGGCAGCTCACACTGACAGAAGCAGAACCTGAGAGTCCATGCCAAGCACAAGACCTGCAGTCTCTTGTTCCATGTACCCTCAACTCAATACATCACCGCTCTCCATCACAGTGCCTTGAGTTCCTGCTTTGTGCAGTGTCTGCAGGGTACTGGGAGGAAAGGAGTGGTGGTGGTAGGCTCTGAGGATGAACATGCACCAGAGAGAGCTGGGGAGAACCGAGGTATCTCTGACCACCTATGGGAAAGATGATGAAGAAGAAGGAGTCAGGGGAACCAGCCACAGTGATGCAGAGCTAACATAATGCTCTGCAATGCTGAGGCCAAATGGAAAAGTCATTGCTTTGTGTTGCAAGATCTCCCTGTGCATACTGGGTGCTTGAGTGCATGGCTGAGATCCCCGCGGGCTGAGGTCAGGGGTAAGACTGCAATATGAAGACTCCATTGAAAGTAACTGTTTCACTCTCTCCACCCACATCTTCCTCTCTCATGAAAGAAATAAATGAACTTTAAAAAAAAAATGAATCAAGGGCTGGAGTTCTACTGCTAGCCCAGACCAAGTGATCCTGAGCAAGTGTTTTAACTCCTATCAACCTCAATTTCCTCGTAAGTACAATGGGAATCTAAAGGCCTGACCTTCCTTATTAGACTACTTGAAGATTAGATAAAACCATATATTTTCAGTTGTCTTAGTCTACTCCTGCTACTATTACAAAATACCACAGACTGGGTAATTTACAAATAATTGAAGATGGTTTTCTCTCAGTTCTAGAGGCTGAGAAGTTCAGGATCAAGGTGCCGGCATCTGGCATCTGTGTGGGCTGCTCTCTTATCTTCTGAGATGGCACCTTGTTGCTGCATCCTCCAGAGGGAATGAACTCTGTCCTCACATAGTGGAAAGGAAGAAAGGCAAAAGGCCTAGTTAGTTTCCTTAGCCCTTTTATAAGGCACTGATCTCACACAAAAGGGCAAAGCCCTCATGTCCCAATGGGATTAAGTTTCAATATTACTTTCAGAGGGAATATAAATGCCCAAACGATAGCATAAATGCTTTGTCAAGTATAAAGCCCTTGAAAATGTAAGAGATTATTATTATCATTGGTGTTATTACTTTATTATTATTATTTCCCCCCTAAGCTGCTGTTTCTATCATATCTATCTGGTTCACAGCCCACCCATAACCTCTTTCTCAAGTTATTTTTCAGTCTTTTCAACCTCTCAGAAAAAAAAAAAATCTGATTTTTCTTTCATCTTTTATTTCCCAAATGTGTAGGATACTGGGATAAATTTAAAGTCTGATTGTTAGACAAATGTTTAGCACTGAATAAAGTACCATTTCCTGCATACATAGTCAGGTGCCCAAGTTTGTTGTGATCTAATGTCCAGGCTGATAATGGAATGCTTGGTGAAGCACCTTTGATCCTCTGTTCTTCTCCCTGCCAGGGAAT